TTACATCTTCATGGTTAATAAAATCATTTAACTTATGTATAAGGCAATCCATTATTTCTTAAACAAATTTTTATGAATTTCCATTTTCTCCCACAAATGTGCCTTTACTAAAGTGTTTCTCTATCCATGCAAAGTCAATTTAGACATTTTTTTGTAATTCCTCTGTCCCCCATGAAATGAATTATGTAGATATACTGTTTGTCTATTTTAAAACTTCTATATGTACACCTTGTACATGGTAAGGTAAGACTTTTTGGCCCATACTCAACAGCAATTTTTGCCCCTTGGTGGTTCTACTGCCTTCATTGAGAACACATCTTCTATTAGAAAGACCCAATAAGCCTAGAATTGTATAAATTTTATATGAAGAAGATGGGGAGAGTAACTTCAGCACAAGATTCTTAGTAGATTTACAGGCTTTTTTTTTTCGTCTACTTCTAAAATGTCTTGCCTTCCTCTGAGGCACTTCAAGAAGACTTCCACGTTATATGTAGCAGGGCAGGCCTGTAATCTCAGTGACTGAGGAAGCCAAGGCAGCAGGACAGCAAATTCAAGGCCAGCCCCAACAGTTTAGCAATACATTGTTTTAAAATTTTAAAATGAGGGGGAAGGGGGAAAAGCTGGGGATATAGCTCAATAGCAGAGCACTATTGTGTTCAAACCCAGAACTGGGAATAAATAAATAAATAAATAAATAAATAAATAAATAAATAAATAGATAGATAGATAGATAAATAAATAAATAAGACCTCCACTGCAATGCTTCTGAGACTGGAGTATTCTTCCTCTAGCCATTCTTTCTTGTCTTCAAGATGTCTGCTCTTCTTGTACTTTTAAGTTAAATTTTTTTTTCTATTAAATGAGTGTTCCCACACATTAGTTTTTCAAACGCCTCATACTTATGCAAGATCCAGACAATATGACCACCTTCATGTTATAAAAGTGTGTAAGTACAAACCTCCATTGCACTCTGCTGAGCACTGTGCGGCCTCCATCGTACACGTGTTTTTGCTACTAGACCATTTTCCACCTTTACCTAATAAGACCTCACAATGAATCATTATATTTTATAAATTAGAGTCCTAAATAAGAACAGATACCATCTCTTAAATCCCTAATAGCTAGCATGTCCAGGCATTCATGTACAAGATGTAGGTAATTTAATGCTGCCCTGATATAATTCACTCTCTTATATTGGTAATTATATATTTTGATATGAAATAAAATGTAAGGCTACCTAAATATCAACATATTTGATAATATATACTTGTAATATAACTGAATATTTGTAACAAAATAATTGAAATTTGTATATAAAATATAGTATAACTATATATGTATATGTATATAGCCACTTTAAATTATATATCCTGACTAAATAGAAATTTGGCTCAATGTTGTCAGATACTCAAGAGCAGGGACTATCTCATCTAGAATCATATTCCTCAGAGTTTATACAACATCTACATATATAAATTGAGTAAAAAATATCTTAGATACAAGATTTAGATGCTCAAAATAGTTAATGAATTTTAATATTTACATCATATATTTATTGATCATTTTCTATCTTTCAGAAACTTTATTGGGAGTTTTAGCATATTAAAAAAACCAGAAATGCCAAAACCAATTTTTCCAAGAATAGAAATGTATATGTTGGGGAACATTTTGGTAAAACAAAAGAAAGAAAGAAAGGTCAAGGCTTCCTGGAGAATGCCGCAGCTAATACAGAAGGAATGCTAAAATTTCAGTGTTTATTTCCTTTACTATTTTAAGCTGAAATATCAGCAATCCCTTGAATATGCCTTCCAAACCTAACAATCAAGTCAGGTCTATCATGAAGTGCATTTGTGAAATTGTTTAGGTCTTCTTTTCTATCTCATAGTTCTAAGGTTTTTGTAGGATTGGTTTATCAATATTTCCACATTGCAGGGTTTAATAAATTCCATGTGGGAAAAGTGGTTTTAGCATGATAGTTGATTTCATTTTAACTGCTCTCTACTTGTATATATGTGCTTAACTGATAGCAATATTTTATCCTAACTTGGTGTGATAAAAATGATGATCGAGATAGAAATGTTTCAATTTCTTGAAACAAAACAGTATTTTGATAAATATTTCAACATGCTTACATTTCTGACTACTTCAATCTAAAACTGGTAGAGATCCCTATTTAGCAAACTAATGTCATTCACAGGACCTGTCCTATTTAATGTCTCCTTTTCATTGCTAACTATTTTCTGGGTCCCCTCTTTTACTAGTTTTAAAAATTTAACAGTAGTTTCTTTTCCTACCATTAAAAATTTCCTTTTGGTCTCTCTAACTAGATTATGACATTGTTACTGAAAATACTTTTCTTCTCACTTCTCACTTCTCCTTTCCTAATGAATTTATTTTCCTTTGTGTTTTTATCTGCTCATAAGTCTTTAACTTCAAAATTTGTGCCTCTATTTTATATTTTTCTTCTCAACTCAAAATCTCTGTTTCCAAATACTAGTTGAATAAGGCATGTTCTATTACTTCTTTTTTTTCAATTTTATTTTTAGCATGGGAAACTTCATAAAAAATTATAAACATTCCTAATTTGAATGTTCCAAAGAATGTTTCAGAAAAAAAATGTTTCCAAATATAATGATATTTTTGTTCCCAATCCATAATTTCTTCTTTATTTTTATTTCATTGTAATCGATTTGAATATCATGTTTAGTACATTTTCTTCTTCCACTATTCAGCTGGTCACCAGTTCCTACTAATTATAACTCATAGACATACTTAAAATATCCCCTCTCCTTATAATTCTCAGCACATGTGCTAGTTTAGGCATGTGACACTGTTATGGTTTGGATGTGAGGTGTGTCCCCCACAAGCTCATGTGTGAGACAATGCAAGAAGGTTTAATGGTGAAATGATTGGATTATGGGATCCTTAACCAAATAAGTGAATTAATTCCATGATAGAGATTAACTGAGAGGTAACTGAAGGTGGGTAGGGTGGGGCTAGAAAAGATGAGTCATTAGGGGCATTCCTTTGGGGTATATTTTTGGTGAGCTGACCTTAGTCTCTCTTCTTCCTGATCATTATGTGAACCTCTTCTCTTACCACTCTCTTCTAGCATGATGTTCAGTCTCACCTGGGGCCCTAAGCAATGAAGCTGTCCTCCTGTGGAATGAGACCTCTGAAACCATGAGCTCCTGAATAAACTTTTCCTCCTCTACAGTTTTTCTGGTAGGGTCTTTTAGTCACAGTAGTGAAAAAAGGTAACGAAAACAGATGCCTTGCCACCAAATTATTTTGATGCTTTTTAATTTATATCCTGCTTGCATCTTTCTCTCCCTTCCATTCCATCTTCTACCTTACAACCTTATCACATGGAAAGCTGATTATTCATTCCTCTGTTTAAAATCGATAACAGATCCTCATATCAAAGGTTTAAAGTCTAATCTCATTAGAAAGCTGTAAGTTCAGCTTGCCTCATTTTTATTAACATCTGGTTTCTCTCCAACATTACATCCATCCTAATACTTTTCCATTCTACAATCCAACTTAACAAAAGATTTGTTGCTCTCCAAATGTGCTCTGCTTCATTGTATTTCCTCTATTTTAAAAATCCATTTTGTTTGCCTCCCTAAAGAACACAGTTCACCCTAAAAGGCTATGTCTGCCACAACTTTTAAAAATTATTTTTATAAAATAAAAATTGAAAAGTGGTGCTTAAGCACTGGCACATCTCCAGCCCTTTTTATTATTTTATTTAGAGACAGGGTCTCATTGAATTGCCTCAGGGTCTCACTAAGTTGCTGAGGCTGACTTTGAACTTGAGATCCTCCTGCCTCAGCCTCCTGAGCCACTGGAGGAACAATCTATGACTGCAATTCTGTGAAACCTTCTGGGTCACCATTATTTCTTCCTATATGACTTTGAATATTTTTGTGTGTGTGAATATGTGCATGAATATTATATAGAATTGAGTACATTGTACAAATGATATTCGGCAATCATCATTTTCATTAAGGATTGAAATCATATTAAATATGTTTTCAGATGAGATGGAAATTAAACTAAAATCAATAAGAAAGACACCTGGGAAATCCCAGATATTTGGAAATTAAGCAACAAGTTTCTAAACCATGAGTCAAACGGGAGATCCCAAAGAAAAGAAAATATTCTGAATTAAATAAAAATTAAAATATAGCATAACAATTTGTGTGTGTAGCTAAGATAGTTCTTGAAAGGAAATTCACGGTATTAAATATTCATGTCAGGAAAAGAAAAAAACCTTAAATCAATGATCCAAGTTTTTATCTGAAGAAAATAGAAAATTAAGAACAATATAAAATCACCACAAACACACACACACACACACACACACACACACACACACACACAATGAGCCAACAAAGGACAAAATCAGAAAAGAGAAAGAGAAAGAAGGAACACAAAATATAAATACCTGAATGAATGAGAGGACATCACTACCACTCCTACAGACATTAAAAAGAACAGAATATTAGAGGAGCAACTTAGAGATGGCAATAAAAAAAGAGTTCATTAGAAACTCTAAATATAAAAATCCATAAAATGGAAGACACCAACTACTAAAGCTCACTCATGAAGAAACAGATAACTGAATTAGTATTGTAACAATTAAGTACATTGAATTTGTGTCTTGGAACTTCCAATGAAGAATAATAGCCTAGGTACTTTCACTGGTTGATTGACTTAATCTTGAATAAAAAAATAATGTCAGCTCTTTGTATACTGTTCCAGAATATGAAAGAGAAGGAAACACTTCTCAGTTCATTTGAAGAGGCCAGTGTTAGTCAGACAACAAAACTAAAGATCTTATAGGGCAAGACAATATGCCGATGTACTACTACATGAACATAGATATGTCAGCAAAATATTAGCAATCCAAAACCTTGCAATAAGAAAAAAGAATAATATGTCATGATTTAGCAGGATTTAGCTTTGGAACAAAGACCTGGATGAATAAGCATTACCTGATTTATTGACACATTCTTTTCCAAGAAACTTGTTCACAGTACAGTACAGGTCATCTGTGCAGAGACACTCTTTAAACTGGAAATTGCTGTCCACGAAGGACTGGATTCTCAGGTTACAGTGTGACAAATTACTTATCTTGCAGGGGTCACCTGGATTTAACAATCAAAATATAACACTCCAGATATTAATGTGAACATAACTTTTGGATCCTTTTCTCCAAAGTACTTTATAATTTATTTATTTACTTAGTACCAGGGATTGAACCCACGGGTGCTTAACTTTTGAGCCGCACCCCAAGCCTCCCAAAGCACCCAGATGCCAATCTGGGTAATTCTTTAGTATGACAAGATTATATAAGGTTGTTGCAGGATGATCAAATAAATGACTTTTTACACAAGATATCTATTTTTACTGTGCTTTTCCCAGAACATACTTCATAAAATAAATGGAAACTTTCTGCATTTGAAAGTAGTTTGTCCTGACATAAAATGCCAATATTTGCACTTCGGAAATACTCAAAGCTGTCCTTTTATGAAATCACCAGAATGATTTCTATTCTGTCATTTTAGATACTTCATTAGCTATTTTGTCTTAATCTGCTATTTTATTTTATATGTCATTCTGATATGTGTAGGTGGCTCTAAATTTATTGAGAAATGAAGTGAACCTGGCACTTATAAGCACTCCATAAATATTATTGAACAAATCTTTTATAACTAATAATATTTAATTTTCTGTTTTAATTTGAAAAGCTATATACGACTATCCCAGTTTTCTTTTATACATTGTTCTGGATAAAACCACTTAAGTTTATATTGTCTGTGAATTTGAAAATATTTCTATTTCATCTTTATGCATGAGATAATTATGCAAATATTTTTGCAATTTACCACAAATGTCTTGCTATTATATACTAAAATACATAAATAAGTGAGAATTCATGACACATGAAGTGTGATATTTTAGAAACACTTTTTAAATTGCCTTATATAACAAGGAGTTTCATCATCAATACAAATAACAAATTTCGTTGTCCTCTGTCTTCATCATAAAATTGTTTTATTACTTTGAGCAAATTATTTTTTCCTGAATAGAAATATGAATATTGAATTAGATAGCTATAACTTTCCTTCCAGTGTGAATAGTCCATGTACTTCCTCAAGGACACAGAAGAGCAGAAACTGTCTGCCTTCCTACACATTCTGTATAATTCACTGAGGTCATGTTGCTGGGCCAAGCCTGCTGATGGATATTGTACACATGGGCATTGTTAGAACTGAAGGTTGCTACTTTTTAATACAATGCAGTCTGAGGTAAAGGAAGCATTTGAGGATATGAGCAGAATGTGATCTAATCTTTGTAAAATGGAGAAATGAAAAAATAATGAAATACATTTTGAATTTCCCTTTAGTATTTGTCTTACAGAATGTTTCACAACATTCATCAGCATTTAGAATATTATAATAGCCATAATATAAGATGGTTCTATTTGTCATTATGTTAAAATGTTGCATTTTAAAACTAATTTTATCATGCCATTACGAGGACAATGTCCCCCAGTATAATCAGTTTAATATGTGTATTTTGTGTGAATGGAGCCTTACTATAATGACTTTGTTATCCACTGTACTGCCTACATGCCCTAGCTGAATTTCCACCCTGATCTTGTCTGTGTTTGAGGACAGAATGTCTTAAGGCCACAGGCTCCTCTTCAGTGGGCTAGCCAAAACCATTCAGATTCAAGATGGCTGCCACAGTGATTCCCCAGACCTCTAATTTCATTTTAATCTAATTTTCATACTGAGCAACACATCTATAAGCCACCCTGATAAAAAGCACCCCAACATAAAAGGAGAGAAAAGATATGGTGCCTGAGTTCTGAGAAGTCTCCACCTATTCCAGGAAAAGACATAAATGTCCTTCACTTTATTAGCCTCTCTCTCCCCTAATTTCTTTTCTCCACTCCCCAACAGGTCAAAAAAATTGATTTCTTAGTCTGTTTCCCACTTCTGTTACCCTTGGCCAATACAAGTTTCTTTTGCTGCTCATCCAGTACTGAGTCTTGTTATAGGTCTCGTGACTCTGAGAAGGAAAATGGGCCCAATTTCCAATTTTCATTTTGAGGAATTCCCCATTCAGGGAATGATTTGGTAAAATTTCATTTACTATATATGCAGTCACTATATAGTAAGACTTTCCCCCTCAATCGTTGTTTTCTTCATTTCTTGAAACTCCCTTCAAATATTTGGAATGTAGTATAATTTAAAAATTTAAAATTTGTTTTAAATGACTCTTGACAGAACTGGAATGAACAATAGTGTGTACTTTATAAGAATAAAGAACAAACATTATAAATCTACAAATAAATAGCAATGGTTATCCCAAACATTATTCTTTAGTCCTTGACAAATTGACATATTAGCAAAATGCTATTTTATTTGAAGAATTTTATTCATGGTTCTAAGAAGCACACATATCATTGGAGGATTTTTTTGATAAAACAAGTAAATGTAATGTTTAATTTTGCATAAATCTGCCTTAAGTGTTAATCAGAGCCTGTTAGTAATTAATCATATTCTTTTGTAATGAAATTCACCAAAATATGATGGAATGTAGATTAAGTGAATGTCAAAATTAAGTAAGATACTTAACATGAAAATTAACTTAGTTTCTAGAATTGTGGAAGAAAATATCAAATCTCATTTTTATTTTAGATAAAAGAAATCATTTGAGTTTATTTATAGCAACTTGTATTACCTGAAACATTGCAGGCATCTTCCATTATTCTCCATGCAGGTTTGCATCCATGTGCATCACTTAAGCATTGCTCTCTTAAATATGCACAAACATTGGTGTGGGAAGCAGATCCATTTTCTGAGCTTAGTCTCATAGCTTGAATAACAACAAGAAGACAGCAAAAGTTTGCGATGTTGCAGTCTGGTGGTTATTTTCCCCAAATCTAAGTTATTAAAAGAGCAGAATTGTGGAAAATAAAGCATGGTAAAATTATTATAAGGCTGAAATGCATCTTAAACTCCCCTCTAGCTGTAGATCTGTATTTCTCCTGTGTAAGATTTTTCAATGAATTGTCTGTACTGATTCTTCTCATTCTCACCACCTATTTTCAACCTACTTATCTTTAGAATTTTTCAACTTATTTATTTTTAGGACTCTTATTTGATCGAAACTACTCTTTAAAAGGTTTCTAATCACCTCATTAATATCAAATTTAATAGATTTAAGACTTTATCTGACCTCTTTTGACCATTAGTCATTTTGTTGATGTATTTGTTTTGGGATTGTCTTTCTTTGGCAACACTTTTATTGATTGTCTTGATATTTATCCAATCAATATATTCTGGCCATAATGAATCTCTTCTAGAATTACCTTGATCTCCTGTTAAAATGTATTTTCACTTAGGTTCTGTCCCATTCTCAATCTTATGCATTCTCTGTGGACAATTCTATGCTCTCTCAGTTTGAACTAAATTCCCTAGGCTAGGCTGGGGATATAGCTCAGTTGGTAGAGTGCTTTCCTCACATGCACAAGGCCCTGGGTTCAAGCCTGATCACCATACACACACACACACACACACACAAAAAAAAAAAAAAATCTCTAGGCCAATGATTCTCAAAAAATGTGATTCAAACCAATATTTTCCAATATTATAGCCACAGATAGAAAATGGTTTCCTCTATCCGAATGTTTGAAACTATAATTTCTCTAACTTTGTCCTTTTCATCACTATTTCCTAGTGGACCATAAGCAACATCACCATTATCAGAGGCACCCAAACCAGAAATCTTACATTCATGATAAATTCCTTGCATATCCTCAGTTTTACTCTTGCACATCTCTTTTCACAAAAATTGACTCTCACTTAGAGCATTTGATTAACACTTTCATTGGTCTGTCTGCCTCCAGTTTTATCTTATTCTGATATATTCTTTATACTGCCTAATCTACCTAATGCACCATTCAAGTATTGTAATTTCTCTGCTTAGACCTTTTGGGTGGCTCCTTATGACATGTTCCAGATTCCTCACCATGCACAATATGGAAATCCACAAGAATTTATAATTTTCCAAAAGTTCCATGCTGTTTTACATCTCTGAGGATTTACTGTGTCATCCCTATAAATATTCAATTGTTTTCTTCTGAATAACTCTCTTTGTCCTTTCAGATTGACCATAATCTTTACATGTTTTAAGGAATCTTTCCCTGAATCTATAGCATCCTTTCCCTACACCCAAATTAAATTGACACCCTTTACTTTTTATTCTAGAATCTTGAGATTTCCCTGATTGTCGATTTCACCTCTCTCTAGTATGTGTTCATGTGCTTCTTTTCATCACTGAGTTCTAGGGTTTTATTGGGTAGCACTGGAGTTCATTTTTAGTTTTATCCCAAGATATTCAATAAATGCATGTTGTTTCAAACAAAACAGTTGTTTGTAGGTCAGTAATACATAATTAAATGACATCTAATCAAAACAACACCTTCCAAATATTTATAAGTTATTCTTAGAGGAGGAGAAATGGTTTCAGAAAGTTTTCCAAAGGCAATCAAGAGATGCCAATGCTAATTTAATATGTTATAAAAGCAATTCAAGTTCATTTGACAACAATGCAAACCAACACTTGCTTAACAAATTTATAGAAAAACATGGAGACTACAATTGAGTTATAGCTATATTAACTTTAAGCTATATTTTAATCACATTTGAATTTGAATATTTATAAAGATGATATTAATTATGAACCACCTGTGACAATATAGAGTTATAGGCTTCAAGTAAAGCCTTGAAATCTTTTCTGCTGTCTTACCTCTTTTGAAACCTTGCTTCCTAAGAAGATACCAAGACAATTGATTTGACCATGTGTACTACTTGCTGGGTCACTGTATTTGGAGGTTAGGCACATGGGTGTGGCTTTGTGACATTTTTCTTTTTGAGGGCTAGAGTGGAAATCGACATTGTCAGCTTTCTATTATTTTCAAGTGTTCAGGAACAACCTCATCTAGCTAAACCCCTGTGCTCTTAACTTGGCTAGCCTAGATTAAAAGGGTGTTTTTGATTCTGGTGAAAATTTACTTGGATTAATCCAGTTTTCAAAAACCCTCATATGGGGATTTTATGTCAAAAATGTAACTTATAAGAAACTGGCATTTCACCATTTATATCTGTCTTTTAAATGGTTACTTCAAGAAATTTACAGGTGATGATCCTGAATATATCATCAAAACATCAGTACCTCTGCTAAATGATAATTTATGAATTCTACATAATATCATTCCTAAATCTTATACTTCACCTCCTTTGACATTTTCAAATTTTGGTTGAATAACACATTTAATTGATTATTTTACATGATTTTTCATATCTTCCACTCAAATACAATACTGAGTTAATTAAAGAAACCATACTGATGATTTGGCCTGCAACACCCCAAAACATAAATATCTTTCTAAAATATGTCTTATTCCTTCTTAAAATTTGTGACTCTATATTTAACTCAAGATTTTTCAAAAATTCTCCTGAATTGCTCAGTGAAAATTAGGTTCTATTTTAAAATTAATAATAAGAAGAATGCCTCACATAATAGAACTGTTATTTATACAAAGAAAGACTGAAAATATATTAAGGATTCCTTTCCTTCTTGAATTATCTTTGACTCAATTTAGTTTGACTCTCCTTTTAAAGTTTAACACAATTTGAAATAAAGTTCTTTATTTTCTTGTCCACAGTTATGCTTTTGTTCATCAATATCTATTAGCGTAGAGTAAACAGAAAACACCCTGGCTTTGTTTACTATTATCCAGCTATAATTACAACTATCACTTTCCTGAATTTAATTTGCAAGTTTCACTCAACACTGGAGAATATAGAAAAACTCCAATAACACACAAAACAAGTAGATTGTTATTGATTCTACATTAAACACAGATGAATTCATTTTCATCATCCTCTTAAAATAGTCATAGGATGTATTATAGGAGAGGCAATTCCATACTTAGGTCATTAAATTTGATCAAAATGTGAAGCATTTAATGTGGTATTGTTTTATTCTACTAAATGAATCTTAGTAATATTAATATTTTAAAATTAGAGAAAATGAATGTTTTAAATTAAAATCTTTTAATTTAATTTTAAAATAAAATAGATAATAATTCAAAATTTTTCTTATAACTTGTAAATAGAAGATTTCATTTCTTTTTAAAGACTCTAGGACTTACATGAATTTCATAAAATCTTGGTAAATAACTCAAAGTCATTGAATTATTGTACAATTAAACAGAAACAACCACAATAATTAATGCAATTCTTACATTATTCATTTTCTATCAAGTTAGAAATAAATAAATAAAAGAACTGTACATTTCTGTCAGTGATGAACGATGCTGAAACATAAATGTGTCGTGTAATTGGTATTCTACATAATAAACCCGTTAAGTTTAAGTCATATGGGACTATATTCAGTTTGCAAATAATTAGTACTACAATGAGTTCAGATAAACCAGAAGTGCCATTCACTTACCCAGTAAAATGAGCACTATCATGCCGGATGACTTGGGGCTGTTCACCTGGACGAAATGCACATGTACTTATTCCAGCCAGGTCCTAACAGAAACTGTCCTAAATAAGGTTTCAGCTTCTGTCTTGTGTACTAAGAACATTACTAATTCAAGTTAACTTCCTATGTCACCATTTCCTCACCAATCTTTCCTGAGCTGTGAACTTTCCTAATTATATTCAAATTCAATTATTCTCCTGAGTATGCTAATCCTGGATATTATGCTTCCAAGAAAGCCCACAAACCAATAATAAGGGAGATGATACATACTCTGCACATTCGTGAGAAAGCAGTTTTTGTTTTTTATCCTTCAGCTGGGATATTAAACTGTGTAAAAATCTCCCCAATATGACCCAAGATTTTCCAAGACATTTGAGCTCACTCAGTTTCCATCTCAGTTATGGAAATGATTTCATGTAGTTGGAGGATATGCTCAAGGAAAAAAGACATAAGCAGTCCTGAAAAATTACAGGAAATTCAAGTTCCCGCAGTATAAGACTGGTTTACCTCATCTTCCTAAATGAGGAAAGTTTTGCTCCATGTTCCGTAAACCCCAGTGTGTTTAGAAATTTTGTCACTTTAATCACAGTTTCTCCCACTCTTCAAATTCAGCTACGCTGTAAAAAAAAAAAAAAAAAAAATGATCTCTCACAGTGAAGCAGAAGTCCTCTGTTCCGCTGGGAAGGTAATCATTCACATCTGTGTTCACACTTGACAACTCTTCTAGCTCTGATATTGTTTGTCTCACATCTTCTTTGATGCTGCTCTTCCTCACCTAAGCCTAGAGCACATCATCTCCCTCCACCCAGGCTTTTCCCCACTCCCGTGTCATGAGGCTTCTGATTTTAAGTCACCCTGAGCCATTTCTGTAATGCATTAGGAAATATAAAATGCTGCTGTGGCAAGAAATTAGGAAAAGATAGAGTCAGGAGAGAGGAGCATTTGTGTTTGCCCAGTTACACAGTAAGGTGTTTTTGATCACATGCTGTTCATGTTTATTTTATACTAGTAGAGAAGCTATGTTTTGTTTTCAGAATGCATAGTGGAAAAAAAAAAACAAACAGACGTTTGAGTCCAGCGAATGGAAAATGTAACACTTCTTCGTTATAGATTTAGACAGCTTACTTAATACCTGAAGTAAATCACTCCTCTGTAAAATGATTGATAGTATCCATGGTTACGATTGATATTAAGCATGTATTTAGGGTTTTATATCACACAGGTCCACAAATGGTTATATTACAGCCATTGACTTTATTATTATTAAATGAATGAATTATAATATCATTAAAATTATTTTTCCTTTTAAAGGCATTAGATAGCTAAACCTGTTTTATAACTTCTGTCAAGATTTTTGTTCTTTTTGATATAAGCAACTCAAAATGGCTTGATGGAGTTGGTAACTCTCCCAATTGGAGTGGCCTGGGCTAGAATTAATTTCAGGCAAATTTTTAAGTTGTGCCTTTAAATTATATCTTCTGTGCCTTAGTTTTGGTGTTGTTGTAGTTCATTCGTTTTTTTCTTCCTCTCCTGTCTCAGCTGCTTTCTCCTGTCTCATGCTCAGGAAGGTGGGGTTCTCCTTTCCCCTGGCTGGAAAGATGACTGGAGAGCCCATGGTGTACATCCTTCTCTCTTAGAAATGAGGCTGGGAAATGGGACTTTTCCTGTTAGAATCCCAGAATTAGGTTACATCAGTTCTAGATGGGTCAAAAGAACATCAGTCTTCCCAATGGGTAGGAGCAGCAGGAAAAGGGATCCTTGACAGGCAAAAACAACGTGATCAGAAGAGCATCTAAGTGCTGATTTAAGTAGGCAACCACAAAAAGGAAAAGAAAAGAAACAGATATGACAAAGGAAAAGGATGGCATAATGCAGTTTCTTGTTTTAGGGAGGAGATAAATTGTGACTTTTTAAAGTGAAATGGTACACAGAAACTGAATTTAAGACACACGGGGTAAATGGCTGTAGTCTTTGCCAAACAAAGACGGATGCTAAGGTCTATAGCTTATAGTGCAGTCAGGACCTATGACCCTAGACTTGCTTATTCCACATAAGTAATAATTATTAGCTGTTGCTTCTGAAGCATGATCACTGTGCGGTCAGTCTATAGGCCTTTTCTCAGAATATTTTTAAATGTCTGAAAAATTTAAAAGACAAAGACAGCTAATCATCATCAAATATAGTTATCAAAATATTTTAAAATAAACTAAGGTAATACATATGTTTTCATCATAAAAGTAAATATCAAGATCCAAGAAGAACTAATAATATATAATTTCAAAGCAGCAGTGATTATGGATGATAATTTGTGAGATCTCCCACAAACTCCATGATGTACAAAAATATCTGTAATTTCTACTGGTAACAAAGATAGCACAGGAAGTACTGAATTTCAATGAGTTTAGTAAAAAATAGAACAAATTTTGCCACAAGCAATTTTATAGGCATTCCAGATGAATAAAGCCTAATTAATGTCAATAAAACAATACCCTCAATTGTGTTTTCAAATAGGAAGTGGCAATTGAATCAGAATAGTTTAAAGGTGAGAAGGATAATAAAATCATCGTTTTCAATAATTTCCAATGATAATGTGTATGATTATAAATATATCCTGTTTCAAATTAAATACTATGAATGCATAACTGAAACGGAATGATGAAGACTTGCTCTGGAAGGAATCTGTGAGAAGGCCAGGTCTGCTTATTGGGGTTTACCATCAGTGACCAGAGCTGGCTTGAGGACATGCAAAGGCTCCAGAATTCTTATTCAAAATTCCCTAGTTTCATTTTATTGTTTTATTTTTTCAGACTAAGAAACCACTTTATGACAGTTAAATATAAACTAAACTTCACACCTTGGCAAAATATATTCAGCAAATATTTACTAGAAGTTTATTATATCAAAGATTCTGGAAACACAAAAATTGAGGCATGGCCTCAAGTTTTGGGATTAGATACACTAGGGGGCAGATGAAACTACATATAAAAAGGAAAAACAATGTTAACTGGGTGTTATGTTGTATATCTATAGTCACAGATACTTGGAAGATTGAGGAAGGAGAATCAAAACTTCAAGTTCAGCCTAAGAAACTTAATGAGTCCCTCTCTCAAGAAAAAAAAATATTAAAAGAGATGGACATGTAGCTCAATTGGTATTTGCCTACCATGCTTGAGGTCCTGGGCTCAATGTAATTTTTATTTTCCTGTACTGAAAAATAAATAAATAAAGGTTGAACAACAAAGTCAACCTGCATCAGTCTATTTAATAGAAGACATTTAATAAAAGACATTTAATCTATTTAATAGAAGACATTTCCTTTTGAAACACAAAGCTCTTTAAACTTTTGTCTAATATTTGACTTTCCCTAATTACCCTGGCATTTATCATATATTTGTCTACTTTAAACTTCATAACATTCTCTCATCTGAATGGGAGATACAAGGTCTGATTATGTTTAAAGTCAACATAATATTGACACCTCTGGAAGAAGGCGCTCTGGATAGAGATAAAGGTAGAGATAGAGATAAAGATAATGTTCCTTCTCTATAAAGTCTGAAAATAGGGTTAAAAGAGACACAAAGGAAAATTACTCACAAGTATGTTTTATTTTCTTTTGAGAAATGAAAGATTCATACTATTTTTTTTTTTTTACTAGAGGGATTTGCAGCATTTGGAAAGGAATTTCTGATTTTCAGGAATTTGGACACCTCTAAGAATGGTCTGTCAAGACTAACTATTGTAATGCATTCTTAAGTCTTTAAAATTTCTTAAACCCTTATTTCCACTCTGCTTCCCATTTCATGTTAATATTAGAGTATGTTGCACATTCTGATCATCACCATTAAAAGATATTATGTATCTATAGATGCAGCAAAGTTGCTATCTCCATCCATCATGTATTTATATGATAATTAATTTTTCCCTTAGGTGTAGAATATAATTGCCTTTGAAATGTGTTTGTCACAGTGCAAACACTGTCCATCAGAGAGATGATTGATTCCATAAGGAATGCCTCCTACTGAATTCTAAGTTGAGCAATCCATGAGATGTCCAGACCAGCTCTCCCAGTGAACCCATAGAAAAAGGCTCTGGATATTCCTTGGAGATGTCTGGTGGCAACATAAAAGGATTTTTAATATGTGATCAAGGCAACTGGAAACAGATTCACATTGTGAAAATTACCTTTCTTGCCTTTTCAAGATAACTTTTTCTATTGTAAATATGTTAGTACCTATATATAGTCCTGGAAAACAACAAATAGTGAGGTAGTCCAGTTTAAGTTGCCCAAGTATATCTTCTTTTAATTTTTTGTACATATTTTAAAGTTTTTACTTAATTAATTTACTGTGTTTCTAAAGCATCCTTGTTATCATATTTATAGTTGTATATTACAATATTAATTGTATCTGTTGCATTTTTTCTTCCAAAATCAAGGAAAGAAAAGAAAAAATTACCATGATTCTACTAGTGTAACTGATGTTAATGTGTTCGCCTTTCTTAGTTTTGACAAAAATATACATAAATTTGTGTACTATATACCGTTTTTCAGAGAATACTTATCACAGGATTATTAATAAATTATAGATAGAAAAAGACTTGATGAAGGTAGCTATCCTGAATCTCCAGTTGATTATTTCTATTTAAACTGTATATTTGTTTCTTGGGTGCAAGGTATAATTGAAAAAAAAAACACCAAAAAATAGACTTTCTAAATCCCAAGTGTTAAAATAGAAATTCAAATGACTCAGATTCCATGAGTAGCATATTAAATTAATGCTTCATCCATGCAGTATATTTTAATTGAAATTATTCAGCTGTTGATTGTGATTACTAAAATAACTTATAATCTTTGTTAAAAATGGAGGAAATTATAAACTAGAAAATGTAAATAATGTGTAGTTGAGTCTGAATGATAATTGTCAAGATTTTATGGGCACTTTTCAAAAATTTCTAAACATTTTCATGAACGTACATCATGTGTGTTTTATTAAGATTATACTCTACATACTTTTCTGCAATCTGTTTTGTGATCTTAACAAAGGACAACAAACACATTTCCATGTCCATGTGTAGATAACAGAATTAGTGTGTTTATTCTATCTAGTATATGATTGTAGAGATGTTTTAAACTTTATTCAGTCTACTATTCACTTATTTATTCAACAAATAGTTATTGAGCCCCTATTATATTCCCAATACAGCTCTTATCTTAGAGCTAGATAATAATAAAGACATATCTCCTCCTTGGCAGTATATATTCTAGTTGGGGAAGATAAGAATAAACAAATAAAAATAA